CCCTTGCACCCTCAACTACATCCTTAGCACCGCGCTGTACATCGGTGCTTGTGTCGTCGGCAGTATTATCGCGGGGCGTGCATGCTGTTGTGCGCATCTTGCCTGCGGACAGGCCGTTGGCTGAGCGTGCCACCTGGAGCTTCAGGGCGGACAAGTAAAGAGGCCGGGTGCACCACGGTGGCGTTACAAAGGTTGAGTGGAGCGAAGGAGGGGTCCTTCGTGCGTCTTTCCGAAGTCGATGATGAGTTTGGAGTCATGTGTAGATTGTTGCGTGTAAAGATTGTGATAGTTGAAGAGACGATGGTCGTGGTTGCCTTGAAGACGGACAATCCTGCGTGCTGCAGTATCACGTCGAAAGTCATATTGTAACTGACTGAAGAAAGTGAAGCTGCACGGACCAAGCTGAGTGTGTAACGCCGACTTCCGCAATGCTTTCGTAGACGGCCTTCTTCAGTCCCCTCTGCCCTCACTCAGACTTGTCCCAAACGAGTTTGCCATAGGATATGTTGCCAGTAAGCGGGAAGACCGTATGAATGTCCTTGATACCAGGCCTAGCCGGTTTGAAGGCGGTAGTTGTGACACAGAGGAGCATCTCTAAGCGCATGCGGTTATGGAGCCCGTTGATAAGTATATTATGAGCCAAAAGTTTGGGAGATCGTAACCATTTCTTGACAACGTTCGAGGAGAACTTCTGTGTGGGGTACAGAGGTTGAAGGCAGATGGTGGGTGAGGAAGACGCGCTAACATCCACAGTCGCTTATCGCGGATTTGATCTGGTTCCCACCGTCGCCGGAGCGGGTCATTGGGTTCAAGTGGTGGCCCGGTGAATGCCATCTTCTTTGGGAATACGAAACTCCCTGGCCCTGTTCATCTCTGGAATGCCGGAAGTCATCAATCGTGCCGCCAACGTATCCCACTAGTATCATGCATTCTGAGCATGTCTGTACTTGCAGCCACAATCATCTTGAAGTCTAACCGACATGTGCTCAAGGCACTCGCCATGGGTAAGCCTGGGTAAGCAGGAAGCTCGTCAGGATCGCCGGAGTCCGAGGCTGACGAATGATCGAAGCCCGGCTATGGCCGAGATAGGGGCTGTTCTACCCAAGCTCTACTTCATTCTCTTTGCAATTGAGAACTCAATGTTGGACCAGACAATCCATATCGTGATTCCGTATCCGCCAATCGGCGCCACTGTTCTCCGTCGATCCTCACCTTGCACACGTTTCCGAAGACCTCGCGCTTCGCAGCAAGACAGGTACCAGATAGACAGGGCAGATCATGCACCGTTGAGAAGTGCGTATTGGTAGTTGTTGTATTGCTGTTTCGTACTGATGCTGTGTGGCCGCAGGTCATGGGCACACCAAGCACATAAGTATCGCACGACGAAACACGCCTTCCCCTTCAGCAACCACCTCACTCCTCGGCGTCTTGCTCATCCCAAAAATCATCCACTCTCATTGGCTTCTCATGTCCGCCGTCCCGAATGACCGGCTCGCCACAAGCCCGGATCCTCTCATACCGTTCGAGCGCAGAGAACATGGATGGGGGATATGGGAGACTTATAGAAAGGCGGTAACGCTGGAGAGGAACGAACTGGGCGATTATTCTGCCACTACCATGACCGGTGTTCTGACCTTCGTGCGTTCCAAGCCTCCTTTACTCCCCCCGACATGACTGACGGCTCTCTAGACCGGGTTATTTGCTGCAACAGTGGCGGCCTTTTTGATCGAGAGCTACAAGACACTCTCACCTGATTCTGGCGCTCAAAGTGTGGCCCTGCTCTCGCAACTTGTGACTGCCGCCAATGGCAATGGTACACGCATAGACTCAGATCCGATGCCTTTCGAGGCGTCAGATACATCCGTCATGATCAACATTCTGTGGTTCATCGCCCTTGTTGTCTCCCTTGCAAGCGCTCTGCTGGCAACACTGGTGCAGGAATGGACGAGGGATTTGATCCGGGCGCAAGCTCGCTTGGCGGATGTGCAATCGGAAAAGAAATGTGTGGAACATCTGGGATATTATATGGGTGCAGAAGCCTATGGCTTACATCGCCTTCCCTCCTTGGTGGTCGGTCTCATGCATGCTGCCGTTATACTGTTCCTGATTGGGCTGGACATATTTCTGTTTACCATCCATAGGCGCCTTGCTCTTGTTGTCTCGGCAGTCACGGGGGCCATAGCATTTGTCTACATTGTTGCCAGCAGCATTCCCCTATTCCGTGTGGCGTGTCCGTATCGCACACCCATGACAGACTTCCTCTTCGTGTTCATAGGCATCCCGGCCCTAGGTCTATCCTCCTTGCTACTATACGTCATGTACGCCATAGCTGTGGGGATACACAGAGTCACCGACGGGCCTCTCGAACCATGGACTACTTGGTCTCTTCACCCCATCCACTTTTTCGACGTGATGACAGCACCCCTAACTGCACTCAGAGCCTGGCGCGGAACGAAATCCTACTTCACTCTTCGGAAGACTGACAAGTCTATCCGCCTCTTCACCCATGTATCAAATGCCATTCGCAGCGGCAATGGCAACGCTGAGCAACATCCACTCGTGAGCCCTGAGCAGATGGTATTTGTTTGGGATCGGGTCTGGGAATATGCTCTAGCCCACGCTCCCGCTCTCCATTATTTTGGGGGTGTGCTTGCATATGCAAGGGAACCTGTCATCGACAGCCTTTTCACCGGATGGCGGAACGACCCAGAGTTTGTCGCCAAGGTCGCGGAGTCTCTCGACTACGTGAACTCGCCGTACTCCGCAACCGCAGCATTACGCTTGCTCCAACTATTGTTCCAAGCGGAAGCACCAGAGGACCGTGTTATGCAGCAGCGCTCAAAGGGGGCACACCGGTGGGAGTGCACCGCATGCATCTTCAAGGTCTTCCCGCAGTTTGCCGCGAAGCTAGAGCTATTGATGGCACAGGCAAAGGAGGATCAGGACTCATCCTTGCCCGCTGCATTGGCCAGTTTTCGGCTCACACTTTTGCGTCTTCTGAATACTGTCCCATCATATACTGAGGAAGCAGGCTTACCGGATGGACGGGACTCAATCAGACTTGTCTTTCGTGAATTACAGCGATACGAACACACGAAGCTGTTGCCCTTGGCTGTACACGACACAGACCAGGTGGAAGACCTCTTTGTTAGGCAAGATTGGCACCTTCTTCTGGAGTTGTCATCCCGCAATGCTCTCACACTGATTGACGCTGCAAATAAATGCCATTGGCACGGCTCCTGGAGCAATCCCGATGGGCAATTCCTTCCTGTCAACGCGGCAGGTGTATTCGACTGGCGGAAGATGAACGCAGGCACCGTTGAGAGGCGCCAGAAGCCCTCTGCATCTGGCCCCTTCCGAGATCTCCTAGCCGGAGTTGGTTTACAAGGGTGGCTGGAGCCAAATTCTCAATTTTTGGACCCCGAATCAGGAGATCTCGATCCTTCTTTCGGTCTGGCTGTCAGAGCCCTCCGTGACCTCGCGTGTGCGGTCGAGATCTGTCCAACATCCGCAGATGCTCACGCTCAGCCGATGTGCCTCGAGCAAGGGCGTCTCGAGCACGGGCCGCTTGAACCAGCGCCCGATGAACAGACCCCCTCCCCAACACCTATTCAACCCTCACCCCGTCACCGTCGCCAGTTTCCAGCATCCCACAATGCAGGCATGTCAAGGACATACCACACAGTGGCTACACCGTTGGGGAATGTCTAGGGGAACCGAATGTCACACTCCCACTATTGACACATAGAAAACCTTAATACACATCCTGTTATGTATTCAGTCCTGTGCAGATCCTCCCAGATACGAGACCTGACACCCTCCGCATGGAGGATGCCAAGCGTCAGTTGCAAACATTTTCGGGTCGAGCCTTCAGGGCGAATGCAGGTTTACTGTAAGTAGCGTGATGACAAACTTGAATTGGACCAGGAACTACAAAGTATGGGAGGTTTGTACCATACTGAAGACCCTATAGTAGAGACCAAGGGTCCAGGTCA